CCATTTAGCAGGATTTGACTGTGGCCTTGTTGTACACTGCTCTTATTACATTGAGGAAAGTCCCCTGTATCCCTAGATTTCAAGGACTTTTATCATGAAGGTATATCATATATTGTGAAAGGCCTTTTCTGCATATAATGAGTTAATCATGCGGTTTTTACCCTTGAATCTATTTATTTTGTGCATTACTTTTATTGATTAATATAAGTTGAACCATTCCTGCATCTCCTGGGTGAAGCCACTTGATTATGATGGATGACCTTTTTATGTGTGCTCCAATTCAGGTTACAAGTATTGTATGGATAATTTTTTGTCTGTATTTGGTGTATAATTTTCTGGTATTTTTTGTTTGGGTCTTTGTCTGGTTTTGGTATCAGAGTAATAAGGCTTTATAGAAAGATTTTTGAAGTGTTTCTTCCTTTTCTATTTTATGGACTAATTTGATGAGTATTGGTATTAGTTCTTTGAAAAGGTCTGGCTGAATTCTGCATTGAATCCATCTGACTCTGGGCTTTTTTTTAGTAGGGAGATTTATTTTTTGGTATTTTTGAGACAGGGTCTCCCTGTAGCCCCAGCTGGCCTGGAACTCACTATGTTGACCAGGCTGGCCTTGAACTTGCCTCTGCCTCCCTAATGCTGAGACTAAAGGTGTGTGCCACCATGCCTGGCTAGTGGGAGATTTTTAATGACTTCTATCTTGTTCTTTGTTGTGGATCTTTATTTCATTTTCTAGATCATTTATATTTAGAAGTTCATCAATTTCTTTAAAAATTTTCCAGTTTAGTGGAATATAGATTTTTAAAGTATTTTCTTATGACTTTCTGAATTTCCTCAGGGTCTGTTTTAATGCCCTTTTCATCTCTGATCTTATTGCTTTGGGTTCTCTCTTTCTTTTGTTTAATTCAGCTAAAGATGTGTTAAGTTTGTTAATCTTTTCAGAGAACCAACTTTTCATTTTATTGTTTCTGTGTATTACTTTTTCATTTATATTTCATTAACCTGATCTTGTTTATCTCTTCTCATTTACTATTTTTAGGTGTTGTTTGTTGATGGTTTTCCATGGACTTCAGGTACATGATTAAGTTATTCATATAAGATGTCTCTAATTTATATACACACTTAGTGCTATAAACTTTCCTCTTAGGGCCACTTTCACTGTGTTCCATAGATTTTGGTATGTTGTGTTTTCATTTTTATTCAATTTTAGGAATTTCCTTTTTGATTTCTTCCTTTACACAATTTTCATTTAATAGTGTATTGCTTAGTTTCTATGACTTTATGTTTTCTTTCCTTCTTTCTTTCTTTCTTTCTTTCTTTCTTTCTTTCTTTCTTTCTTTCTTTCTTTCTTTCTTTCTTTCTTTTTGTTGTTGAGACAGGGTCTTCCCCAGCTGGCTTGGAACTTGCTATGTAGACCAGGCTGGCCTCAAACTCACTTCACAGAGATCCATCTTCCTCTGCCTCCTGAGTGCTGGGATTAAAGGTGTGCACCACCATGCCCAGCTGACTGTGTACTTTCTGCAGTTTCTATTGCTGTTGATATCCAGTTTTATTCCTTTATGGTCCCATATGTTATTTCATTTTTAAAATATTTTTTGAGTCTTGCTTTGTGTCCTAATTTGTGACTGATTTTGGAGAAGAATGTATATTCTTTATTGTTTGGATGGAATGTTCTGTAGACATCTGTTAGGTTCATTTGATTTGTGCTATCATTCAACTTCTGGATTTCTCTGTTTAGTTTTTGTCTGGAAGACCTGTCTATTGGTGAAAATAGGGTATCAAAGTCATCCACTGTCACTGTGTTGTGAATAATCTGTGGTTTTAGATCTAATAGCATTTTTAAGATGAGATTGGTGCCCCTGCATCTGATACGTATATGTTTAGGGTTGTAACATACTGTTGGTGGTGTTATCCTTTATTGAGTTTTCAGTGTCCCTCCTTATCTCTTTAAATTGATTTTTGTTTGAAGTCTATTTTGTCAGATATTAGAATAGATACAGCTGCTTGTTTGTTAGTTTCATTTTCTTGGAATACTTTTTTCTACCCTTTTACTCGAAAATGGTGTCTATTGTTAATGGTGAGATATGTTTCTTGAAGGCAGTTAAAACATGGATCCTGTTTTGTAATCCAGTCTGTTAGTCTTTATCTCTTTATTGGGGTATTGAGGCCATTAATGTTCAAAGCTATTGAAAGCATTTTTTTATTAATTCCTGTCATTTTGTTATTTTTGTAGTCTTTTCTCAAATCTCTTTTGATTACCTGTTCTTATATGGTTCATTTTTCCCCATGACCTCTTGAATTTTTGAATCCTTCTGTTTAGATTGCAATATTCCTTCTAATATTCTCTATAAAGGTGGCTTAGTAGTCATTAATTCATTTATTTTGGTTTTACAATGGAAAGTTTTTCTTTCTTCAATTTCAATAGACAGTTTTACTGGGTATAATAGTCTGGGTTACCAGCTGTGATCTTTCCGGACTTGGAATACATGTTTTTCAGTCCTTTTGGCTTTAAAAGTTTCTGTTACAAAATCAGATATTATTATAATGGGTGTGCCTTTGTAAGTGGCTTGACCTTTCTTTCTTGCAGCTTTCAATATTCTTCCTTTATTCTGTGCTTTAATGTACGTTTGGATTTTTAAATATTTTATTTATTATTTTAATTTTATGTGTATGAATGTATTGCCTGCATGTATATGAGTGCACCCGTGTCACGCAATGTTGTGGAAGTCAGAAGAGGGCTTCAGATTTCCCTGAAACTGGAGTTAAGGATGATTCATAGCTGCCATGTGGGTGCTGGGAATCAAACCTGGGTTCTCTGCAAGGGCAGTCAGTGCTCTTAACTGCTGAGCCATCTCTCCAGCCCCTAATGTACATATGTAGAATACAGTAACAAATTACGGTCATGTAGGGATGTAGTAAAAGAAGGTTTTTCTCTAGGATCTATGACCTTTCCAACCATGTATATTTGGCTATGCTTTCAGTACCACACATTGAATGGACCTTAATTCCAATTAGATAGTTGTTAATAACCCCAAGATAAAAATGCCACAACTGCACCAATAGAGATAGTTTGGTTGCTTGGCCAGGTGTTTATTAGTCTTTACAGCTGGATAGAATCATTGATTTGTTTTCTTCCTTGACAGCTATCATAGTATCCTCTGATACTGTGAGACCTAGTCTTCAGGGAGGAGGATTCTAGGTCAGTTCAGCTTGATTGCTCCAAGTATGTCTTGTCTTCAGCAATAGCGTCTTACCTTCAAATTCTGGGAAGCATTCAAGGGCTTTGCAAAATTATGAAATTTGCAAGTAAGATGGTTCAAACTAGAAACTGTCATTCTAAGTGAAGTAACATAGACTCAGAAAAACAATTGGTGCATGTTCTCTCCCATTTGTGGATCTTAGCTCTAAATCCTTAGATGTGAGTATATATCCTGATGTAATGGCAAGGGCCAGATAAATGGAAAGAAACCATGGGGGTAAAGGGGAAGAAGGAATTCGAGAGGGCCATAGTAGGAGACAGGTGATATCACTGGGGAAATGGGGAAAGGTGGGTATTTTAACTGGGGAGGGAGTAAGGAGGGTTATACAGGGGGAGTGAGAGGTGAGATAACCCTTAGATGATGTAAAAAACCAGAAATAAATATATTTGTTCAAAGTCCCACTGAGAAACACACATACAATAGATATACAAGTGATTATGTATGGCTGAGGGCTATATAACAACAACAACAAAAAAGTTCCAGGTAGGAGAAACCTACCTTTTAGTAATCTGAGATTCCCCAAATAACACAGGCTGTTGCCACAGCCCTTGAATGCCACCAAATTACTTTTTTTTGTCTTTTTGAAGCAGGGTCTCCTAGACCAGGCTGGCCCTGAACTCACAGAGATCTGCTTGCCTCTGCCTCCCAAGTGCTGGGACTACAGGGGTGTGCCACCACACCCGGCCAGATTACTTTTTTTAGTTAGCTTCTGGCATACCTTTGCTGAGTTGAACAATGAAAATCTTGGCTTTCTCTTTAGGTTCAATTCTCAGTACCCTATCCCTAAACAAATCAGTGTTCTCAAAATGGTAGATCCTGGTGTTCTCTGACCCAGAGCGGGGAAAGGAGTGGCTGTGGCGAGAGAGAGGCAGGAGAAGATAAGATTGGCCTCAGGCTAGCCTTTATTCTTCTGCCCCAGTTATGCCACTGCCAAGGCAGAGCCAAGAAAACCACCCCCTGCCAACATCCATTGCCTGACTGTCCTGATCTTTAAGGCTCCTGCCTCACAGAGACCTGCTTGGGCAAGTCTCTTCCTGCATCTGACAATGATACCCTGATTGGACTATGTCCCCTGGGTCAGATCTGCTGTTGAATCACTTTTGCCCTAATCCATAAATACACCCCCCTTTCTCACTCAAACTCTTTTTAATAATCTATTTTCCCACACCAAAACTACTTTCAGTATTAATCACAATGGAAACAAATAATGGAGAATAAAGAAATGGAGTAAATGAAACTACTTTTATTCAACTTTGTGTATGGAAACATGTCAGCAAAATAATGAGTCAATTTCAACAAAGTAAAATGTCTATAAAAACAGAAATCTGAGTTACTTAATCATTCTTCTGATGTAATGTTTCATTTACTTGATTCATTCTTGCAAAACAAATAATTTAAAAATTACAAAAGAGTAAAGTATTGTGCTGGATAGCTCTAGTGTCAACTTGACACACTTGGGTTGAGGGAGCCTCGATTGCCTTCATTGGACTGGCCTGTGGCCATGTCCATGGGGCACCTTCTTGATTGTTGAATGATGTGGGAGGGCCAAGCCCACTGAGGGTGGTGCCACCCCTGGGCAGGTGGGTCTGTGCTGCATAAGAAAGCAGGCTGAGCAGGGGCCAGGAGAGCAAGCAGTAAGCAGAATTCCTCCATGGCTTGTGCTCCAGCTCCTGCCTCCAGGTTCCTGCCCTGAGTTCCTACCTTGGGCTCCCCGATGAACTGTGACCTAGGAGATGTAAGACAAATAAATGCTTTCCTCCCCAAATTGGTATTGGTCAGAGTATTTTGTCATAGCAATGAAGGAACAAACTAGGACAAGTATGAATACAACTTTGCACATACTAAAGTAATATAGTATGCTTTGCAATTTATCTCTTTCAAATATTGATGTTTTAAATTCTTAATATAAATGAAAATGCCAAGTAGACAAAGTCAGAATTGAAGAAACTTGAGTTTGTAACTACTGAGCTTCCATGGTTTATCCTGAATCTGTTGTTAAACACAGGGATATGCAATGACTATACAGTTGGAGACACAGGTTGTTCCTGAGATTAGCTGGAGTGATTCTGAACTGTTATGAACTTAACCTTGAAAGGAAGTGGGTATGTCTAGTTCTGTTTGGTTTGGAATTACAGGGGTGGACTCCATGCCTAGAAAATCTCTTAATAACTTCATTACAAATGGAATAAGACATAGAAACAAGCAATAAGAAGTTACAATCCAGTTGTGACATAAACCTTTTTTAGAAAATAAGAGGTGCCAATTTTGAACCTATGCATATATAGTTAGTAACCAAACAATTACTTATAGGTTAGATAAATTCAAGTCTTTTTTTCCCCCAGAGAAAAGTATTCCATTACCAGTTCATGATGACTATGTTTGCCAGCTTTCTCTCATTCTAACCTGAGATAAATCAACTTACGAAGAGAAATGGCTCATTTTGGTCATGGTTTTGGAATTTCTAGTCAGTGGTCAAATAGCACATCATGCTGGGAGCACGTGGAGGAAGAAGCAGTTGGGGTCCCCTAGCCCTTTAAGGACATGGCCCAATTACCTAACTTCTACCACATTCCAATAGCACCACACCGTGGACCAAGTCTTTGCACGTGAAGATAATGTAGGTTTGAATACAGCAGTGATGAAAAGCAGTCAGAGTTCGAGCTGGTGCAAGGCACCCTGGGTTTCTGCTCCCACAGGAAACTGCTCCTACTGCTCTCAGCTTCAAATGTCACTATTTGGGACTAAAAGGGAAAAAAGTTGAGAATTTGTGATGTGAAACATGCTTGCCTTGTACTGAAGGTAGTATATTACAGAATAAGAATCTACACGTTCCAGAAGGATGGGCACTCAAAAACCTTTGTAGTATTTAAATCTTACATTTTACTTATTTTATTAAACTGCCTTACTACTTTGTAAAGAATAGTAGAGAAAATAAGTATTACATATAATCAACTTTTACAAAGTTGTATCAGTGTTAATAATCACAAAGTTTGTATCACAGTCACTGACATTTACAAGGTGCTTTCTGAGTTTGTTTTGGCTGGGCTGACAACTGAAGACAGCTTCCGTGTTCTTAGTGCCTCATTTTATATACATCCTGATCAGAGTTCCATGCAGAAGTTTATAGAGGTTCCTTTCATTTTTTCCTTGTAGATTTCATCAAATCTCTCATTCTGAGCCACAGTGAAGTGATTTTTCCAATCGCCCACAATTCCTAGAAAAAGAAGCCCAGACAGAAGCATTGCTCTCTGATTGACAGACTGTCAACCCTGGGTAGAGTGTGGAGTGCCCACACTGGAGCTGGCCAGGCAGTAGTCCACTTCCTCTTCAGTGGGTGCTGGTTTATCCACCTTACCTCCCTGCTCTGAGAGGGAGTTCTAAGGGGCTTTCTGCAGGGTGCCAGCTTCTAAATTGGGTGGACAACTAATTCTAAGGAGCTGGTGATCTGCCATGACTTGGATCCATCTGTGTGCAGTACATTTACATACTGAACATTCACAGGAGTAAAAGTGAGTGAACTGAAGACATTAATTACACCAGGGACTTTAAAGATGATATGCTGATCAACAACCTGGATATAAGAAAATATATACTGAGATAGTCTACATATGTGATGTCTAAGAGCAAGCAAAATCAATCAGAGTGAGAGATTAGGACAGTGTTCCTCTTTGCAGGAAGAGATTGCCTGGAAAGGTAATGAGAGGAAATTTCTGGGTTGATGAAAATGTTTGTGGTGCTGATTGCATAGCTTTGTATGTTTATCAAAATTTGTTGAACTGTGCAGTTAAGTTCTGTGCATTTCTGTATGTAGATTATATCTCAATGCAAGAAGAATTTGGAGACAATTAAGGGATATTATTTTTCACCAAGCGGTGATTAAAATAATTTTAGATAGGGAGACACTCTTTGTAACACCAGGGCCTCCTCTGGAAAATTATGCAACAAAAATAATCAGGAAATAAGAACTTCTCACAAAACATTCATTGTAGCATTAATTATAAAAATAAAACAATTAAAAACAACATATATAGTTTCTATAATTAGAGAACTAGTTGGGTGAATGATGTGCACAGATCCATATGCCTTGCCCTATAGGCATGTCTCACATTTTGATAAGCAAAAATGTATAAGCACATTTTGTGTTTTAGTGAACAGCTTTATATCATGGTCTCTATCTTTGTTTCTATGGGCCAAAGCAAGCAAATGAATGAAAGAGGATGCACAGAATGATGGATATGTATGGGCTCAAAGAAGGCTACTTGTCAAATTCTAACCATTGAGTATCCAAAGAGAACAGAGAACTGTTTGATTTGTTTCAGGAGCATGGGATGCTATTGCAGACTGCAAGGGCAATGAAATAAAGTAACTGATGTGCAGAAGGAGAAAGGAAAATGACAGAGCAGTATGCAAATCTTGGTTCCTAGTTGCACTTCTTTGGAAAAAAAAGCATATGTTCTGAAGTCAGAGAGGGAGGGACTTCATGCTTTTGGTAGTTTCTTCTTGGAATGGGGTTTTAGTGATGATCTTTGTAAAATAGATAAATCTGTATTGATTTTGTTTTTATCAATTATTTAATGTTAATTAAAATATTTTATTTATTTTTATTTTATGTATATGAGTGTATTGCCCACAGTTATGTAAGTATACCCATGCTGTTCAATCCCTGTGGAGGTCAGAAGAAGGTGTTGGATTTCCTTGAAACTGGTTACAGACAGTTGTTAGCTGCCACATGGGTGCTGGGAGTCAAACTTGGGTCCTCTGAAAGAGCAGGGAGTGCTCTTAACTGCTGAGCCATCTTTCCAGCACCAGTATTTTAATTTTTAAATTAACTGATACATTTTATTCCCTTAAAACTGGATCAGTTGGACCGATAGAATCCCTCTTTTGAGAACTAGAACCAGGCAGTATTAAGACACTGGTTCTCAGAAATAGTTGTGGAAAGTCCTGATGTAGAGCAGTTTGGGGCCATGGTCAAGATCTTGATATGTACAGAAGCTGATACTACAGGTACTATGGAGTAGGAAAAAGGCATGTGGGGGATGGTGGTGGTGGAAAGAGAGGAGGCTGGTCAGTGAAGAAGGCAGGTGTGCATGTGGACAGTAGCTGTGCTTATCCTAAGTGGTGAGAGCTTTAGAAGCAAACAGCATTTGCTTCCTGCTGCTGAGGCCCCAGGTACTTAGGCCTAGGTTTCCCAATGAGGTCTGCACCATAGTGGTTCTGGCCTTAGTTATCTACAAGACTGTTTTTAGCGCTCTCTTCTGCAATATGAACAACTCTTCTGCCCTGTTAGAAGCATATATGTGCTTGAGATGTACGGCCTTGGAATCAGTGGTAAAGAGGTCCCACAAACCTTTTCTCATGAAGGGAGAAATGGACTGGTCCAAGATAGATTTGGGAACCGTAGAACGATTTGTCATAGGATTCTCTTTCATTTTTTCGAATGACGTCTCCTGGACAATTTTATCCAGCACTACTTCATCCAAGTTCTTTCCCATGAACTGCATCACCTTTTGGATTTCATGCTTTGGGTTCTGTGGTAAGGGTAACATTGAATTGGGGTGGAAGAGAGCTTCAGAAAGACATGATTCCATTCTTTGAGACGTCCCTCTCAGAAGCACATTCCTCAAGGAGTTTCTCTGTCCCTGAGCATGAAGCAGCTATTTACTCACCCTCTTTATGTCCTCATAGAAGAGGAAGAGAATCTGGTATCTGTCTCTCATTTCCCACCATCCTTTCACATGGTCAAACCAGGACCCCCAACTCACTGTAACAGACAAGAACAGTTTTCTCTGACACAAAACCTTCTGACAGTTTGGCTTTTCTTGGCCTGAGGTGCAACGGAGACATGGAAAGAATGTCTTGGGTCAGATATGTCCTAAGGGTCCTGGGCTGCTTGATTTTGAAGTCATGTGCTTCAGGACGGTCTTGGGGTTATTTCCCTTAATATGTTACTTAAAGTGACTTCATATTGCTTATGCACAGTCACATGCACCCTCATATCAAGATGGAGACACCCAGGAATGAAGATGGCACTCCAGGAATCTCAGAATAAAGGCTTTTGGAAACAGGAGGGGGATATTTACTGGGGACTGTGGCACACCTGCTTCACGTGGTTCCTGTCAGTGGTGGGACTTGCCTAAGAAGGCGCAAGGCCTTCTGGGGAAGCAAATGTCATGCATGAGTCTTTCCACTCAGCCTCACTAGAGTGAGAACATAGGAGCACAGAACATTTTTATTTACCTTTTCCATTGATGAAAGTTTCAAAATACTCATCCCAGGTACCAGGATCAGGTAGCACCTGACTCATCCTGTGGAAGTGGTAGTAGGAAACCATGCAGTCTTTGGCATTTCGAGCTACATAAAGGAACTTTGGGAAGAAAAGAGAGGTGGGTAAAAGAGTATATAAAAATGTGGATTTTCAGGGTTCATCTGGGCTGAGTCCTCTTGAGGTGGCTGTATGCCCATGCTCAGCTCTGCTGGCAGTACAACATGGCTTTGAGGTTCTTTGTCAGTTCTGTTGTGTTTCCAGCCCAACCCTATTAATTCACTAATAAGTTAGCTCAGTTCTTGATTTCCCCTTTGATATCAGGAAGAAAATCTTCCTTTAGAAACTACCTGTATGCCAAGGAGCCTTCCAGAAACCTCAGTGTGGTTTCCGGAGAAGCAGGCTAGCTCCATCTGGAGTTTGGATCATGGAACAATGTTGGGGGACCCTGATGCTAGGGTTGTAGTCCTCCATGTCCGGATAGCTCTAAGGGTCTTGGTACTATATGGAAGGAATCCCTTTCTCAGTGGGGGCCTCCTGCTCTCTGCCTGACTTACTTGGAAAGTGCAGCCAAGCACAGATGCCTGACCTTATTTGGAACATTACCTTTGGTATAGTTACCTGGAGTAAAAACTACCCCCAGGTTTTTTCTATATGATAATTAGGCATTGCCCCATAGTCGGATGATAGGATCCTGCTACCACATGTAAATAAAGCATACTATGAGCACCTATCAGCTGAGGCTTTGGCTGCTGCCTCCACACTATATTTTCCCTAACGTCCCACTGAATAAACGGGGCTGTTTCACTGAATCTGGAGCTGTTTCACTGAACCTGCCTCCCCGGAAGGGCTTTCTTCTGTCAGTGCTCACTGGCTGTCCTGACCCCGTTCGTCGCTTCTGCTCCCTTTGTCCTTGTGGACTGGTGGCCAATGACCCACGAGGGGAGGGAGAGACCCCACAGAACAACACAAGAGCTAGTTTTCTGCCAGTTCTTCCCAATGCTGTTTCTTCCATCTCTAGTGGTCCCAGACTCTGCCCAAGTAAAGTGTTCCTTTAGGTTCTACTTTGACCGCACCTTCACACCCCTCTCCTCAACTTTTTACTTTATCCAAGTTCAACCTTTTATCTCATTGTGACATAATGAGCTAGGTAATCAATTTCTGTTTACATCATCATTCCTAAAGTGGATCCATGACAGCCATGTTGATTTTTACTTTAAAACAGTAGCCCTCAATTGTGGGCAATTTGTCTCACTAGGAAATATTGGGCAATGTTTGGAGACATTTTTGCTGTCACACTGGGGATGGTGGCACTACTGATGTAATAAGTGAAGGTCAGGTATGCAGCACAGCATCCTACAATGCACAGGAGAGCCCCTCCTGCCAACAATGCCAATAGTAGTATATTAATACGTCTTTTCTATTCTGTATTTTGATGCTTAACCTCTTGGGGCCTTGCTGACCCAGAAGGGCCTGCTTCTCCTAGGAGCAGCTCACTCCTAGAAGTAGCATATGTGAACTAAAAAAGGTATAGGCCACATCCCAATCACTTCTTTTAAGAAGCTCTCACACTCTGGGCCTCTATCTACCTGCCTAGTCTGCCCAGGGCTACCTGCAGGCAACTATGTCATAGAGCCTGGTGAAACTATTAAAGCCAACCCACCTTGAGCCTGCCTACCCTGCCTTGCCTGCTCCTCAGGCAGAAACTGAAATAAACCCCTTATGCACACTGTCCATGAACTGAGCATTGTGTTTTCATCTATGGTCCTGTGTGCTATGAATGCCTGATTTGACGATGTCATCTCTATCTGTTGCTATTTATTCTTTTATTTAGAAGCCTTACCTGAGGGGACATTCTGCTCTATCTGGGGTTCTTGATGGGGAACTCCAGCTGGCCGTCTAAATGGGGCTTCCTCAGTCAGATTCTGATGGTTGTTTGTAAGCCCCCAATTTTATGGTGCTATCTCTCTATTGTTATTTGTTCTTTTATGTGGAAACCTCACCCAACCTCTGCTCTGCACAGGACTCTTTTGGGAACTCCAGCTGGCTTCTTTAAAAGGGCCTCCCCAGTCAATTTCTGATGGATGTTCTGATTTGATGATATTTTGCTATCATCCATCTATCAATCAATCTATCCATCTATCTATCTATCTATCTATCTATCTATCTATCTATCTATCTATCTATCTATCTATCTATGAATGCCTCTATCTGCCTGCTAATTGTTGTTTATACATTTGAGTTGGCTTGATATATATATATATATTTTGGTAGCTTTATGAGAAGCAGAGGCCCTCTAAAAAATTGCATTTATATTTTTTTTCTTTTTTCTTTTTGTCTTTTTGTCTTTTTGAAGCAGGGTCTCCCTGTAGCCCCAGCTGGCCTGGAACTCACTATTTAGACTAGGCTGGCCTCAATCTCACAGAGACTCACCTGCCTCTGCCTCTGTGTGCCGCCATGCCTGACTTTCTTACTTTATTTTGATGTCAGTTGTACATTTTAGAGGGATATGCCTCATAGCTGTATACAAAATGGTTTCAGGATGTCTGGTCTGTGGTAATACCAGAAATAGAAATTCTCATCCTTCATCTGGCTTTCCTGGAAGGAAGCCGAGTCATTTGCTCCCATGAGTCCCCCCAACTATACTCGTGATACCTGGAAATCTTCCAGTCCCTCTTTCACCTTATTCCTGTTTATGAAAACTGCCCCTCCCAACAGCTCATCCTGGATCATCGGCTCCACTCACTGCAGGGCTCCTCTGTCCTTGTACACTCCTAGTGTGGTCTAGCACCTTCTTTGTGGCAGGAACATACTAGACACTAGGGCACATGAGAAAGCACTCAGAGGCAGTGGAGAGGTAGTGGCCAAAGACAATGTCCTGACCTGGGGTCTGGAGGCTTGGCTTTTGGTGGGCTTCCTCCCCTGCTCCAGGGGAACTGTTGCTGTCCTACCTTACAGTTCTTTTCCCAGAAAGATGGTGGCAGCAGCTGAGTGGGAAGGTGGGTCCTTAGTGTCCGTGGGGCTGGCATTGCGTCGGCTTTTTCCACACCTTTAAGATAATTTAAGAGGAAATATCTGCATGGTACCAGCAGCTCATGGGAACTTATGCTCCAGGCTCTGCCCAGAATATCCCATCATCCACGCATGTATCTTTCTAGCTGTTCTTGACTTTCTTTAGGGATCTTCAGGGATTATTGCTGTTGCTTTCACATTTGTAGACTAACATAGCTTGAGAGCTGGACTAGAGCTTTGAATCAACTTACTTTGTCACTTTGAGGATGATGAAAAAGAAACTGAGGCTAGATGAGTGTGTCTCATCGAGGAGACTCCAGATCAGACTGCTCTTTAGGCCATGCCTACCTAGAGCAGACTTTTACTTCTGTAAAGGAAATGTGAAGACCCCCACCAGAAAACCTGTCTGTGAATCTCTAACCCCTAAAAGACTCTGTGGGTGCCCAGATTCCAGAATAGCACACACCATTCTCACTTTTCCAAGGAAGTTTAGAGGCCCAGGTTGTCAGACTCAGGACATCACTGGTTTCCACCTGTACTATGGGTACATCCTTGAGTTGGACATTCCTATGCTGGAACTCTCTCCCCTCTCCCCTGTTATACAGGGATCAGAGGCAGCCCGACTACATAAAACCTTCACTTTCTTTTGAGACCACTGTGAAGAGGGACTGGCAAGGCAGAAATGTGGGAAGAGGCTGTGTTGACAGCTGCCCTTATTGGGCCCCCACAGCTGGGCTCAGTGACCCCTGTGAGGAGGAGCTGATAGGCTTCAGAGGGCCTGGAGTCAGAGCAGAAATCTGTACATTTGGCTGAAAGATGAAATGTTTGTCACCCAGGAAAAGGGTGAGAGAATAAAACTTTACATACTGGCAAAGGGAGCTGGGAAAACATCTTTGTCTTGCCTTGCCTTGGTACATAAAAATGGGCTTCTTTGAGAACACATAGGCACACACTATCCTCCTAACTACCTGTATAGGTTTCATGTCATACTATCTGGTTGGCCCCAAATTAAACTATTCTAGATAAGAAATGCTCCAAGGCAGCTGCAAGATCAAGACCAGCAGAAAGAACCCTTACTATAACACAATGAAACTAATGAGGGAACAAACCCCATGAATGAGAATTAGAAAAAAACACTGGGTGAATTAAACGCCAAGAATCCCAGTTACTGGGTGCTTTGATAGGCAATATAAATGGCTATTTTTATCTTTACTTAATTTTTTCACTTTGTAATTTTTTTATTATAGACATTGCATTACATATTGTTTAATTCATGCATGCTCTTAGAGAAAGATAAAAGACTATTTTTACATGTGCAAAGACATGAAAGAGAAAATGGAAAATATGAGCAAGGAAGAAATGACTATCAAGAAGACTGGGAGGATTCACAATGTCTTTAGAGAAGCCCAGAGTAAACAGGGTTATATAGCAGAACAGCAGAGCTGAAGAGGAAATGATGGCCAAGCTGGAGAAGCACACCATGGAGACACAGAGATGAAAACACTGGGAGAAATGCCATCAAACGCAGAGCACAGGTGGAGCAGGGTCTGTGGTCCCAACTTAGGGAGTAAGACACAAGTGATGGGCAGGCAGGAGGTTGGCTGTGCAGACCAGGTAGTTTTCTTTCCTGGTATGGTAGTATTTCTTCCTGCCATATCTGAGGCAATAGACATCCTGGGCCTAAAGGGGGCTTGGTCTTCTAACTTTGACATTGCATCAGCTCCTACACTGACAGCCAGGAGGTACCCTTCCTCTCTTGACTAGCCCTCCTAGAGGTCCTGGCACAGTTCCAACTCAAAATTTTCTTTCAAAGTACCTTAGAGCAGAGAGCTTCTGTGAGCTCAGGGTGCTATACTAAGTAGTCCACCAGCGTTGCTTTTCTACCTTTTCTTTCTCACCAATACTCCAGGAAGCCCTGTTTATCTCACCCCAGTATACCATCCTGGTTATATAGATTTTGAGATGGGAAACACAGGGTGATGTATAGGCCATATCTCAGGCTAGGGCCCACTTCCATCTCGCCTACAGGGAATGGAGGGCACATGAGTCTTTTGGCAATCATCAGTCACCCCAAGATCCTAGCCTTGAGGCTAAAGCAAAATAGCTATGGCTATAGCCATTATCATGAGAATAAACTCATGGAGTAAAAAATTAACTAGCATGTAGCTTTTGCCCTTGAAAGGCTTGGAGAGAGAGAGAGGCAGATGTGTGAGATAACAGCTGATGGCTCCAATGTCTCCTCTAGGTGTGTTCTCTAGCCATGTGTCCTTCGCCCTGCCTACAGCAGTCAATGCTAATCTCTAACACACACACACACACACACACACACACACACACACAGAGACACACACATGCCCCATATATATTTTTAGTCTCTCCAAATCCTCCTATGGGTTTGCAGACTCCATATCCTGTTGTGCAGTGGCTCTATAGATGGAGTTGATGGGAGTGGGGAAGGGGAGGGGGTCCTGGGAGGGAGACTAACAAGCTTTTCATGGTGCATCAGGGCCCACCCTGCCCACAGCCCTCTGAGGGTGGTTTTAGCCCTTGACTCACATGCACAAGTCTGTGTCAGGAACCACCCTCCTCTTGGGTGTACTCATCTCTAGGGCAGGGACCACCTGCCCCAATATAAACCTCCACACATCCATCTATCTGTGGCCTAGACTTGTTACTCTGTAGATATGGGCACCTTAGTTCATAAAGAGCCACTTGGACCTCTGTGAGGCAGTTCCAACCTGACAAATGGTCACTATGTGTTCTCAAAATTCCATACTTGCTGGAGCTGGCTGGAGGGAGGCTTTCTCCTGGATTTTGCTGCCTTAGGAATTAACTTCCTGCTGCCCACCGGAAGCCTCATTTCTAATACCTCATTAGAAATCTCACTTTGTTATCTCTCTTTAATCTCCCATGGTATCGAGGTAGGACAATGGTAGCAGGAACAGAACACAGGAACAACATCAAATGCTGGGCTTGGATAGTAAAGGGTCACATGACTGCTGAGGGCAAGGGATTTGACTTGGAGAGGTGGCAGCACTCAGCACTTAAGTGACTTCTGTGTGCCAGGCTGTTTGAGGCCTTTTACATATATGAAATACATTTAATCCTTCCATAATTCTTTGGAATAGACACTAATTCTACTGATTTTGTAGCTGAAGAAACAGAGTGGTTAAGTAACTTGACAAAGGTCATGGGGTGAGTGGTACACTTAGAATTTAATCCCTGGTTGTCTTTAGTAATTATACCATCCTGCTGCTCAAGGGCAGAAGACTAGACAGACTGCACATGGACGGGTGTTAGTAAGGCCAGGGGAGAGGACCAGGCACTGGACTGCAAAGCAGGGAATTTCTAGAGCCAGAGGAGCTAGACAGGTAGAAGGGCATCCTGACATGGAGACACCCCCTTGCCCAGGTTACAAGTTCTTATGCACAGCTGATCAGGAGCTTTCTGTCTCAAGGCATTTGAAAGGATTCATCAGACTCTGCCAACGATTGCTCCAAGAGTGCCAGATTTAACACTAGAGTGGTTCTGACTTTCTTTTCACAGCAGCAGCAGCTGCTAGCAGTCTAAGCTTCTCTTAACAGCAGCCTGCCATGTTGGGCCTTGGGAGGATCTTCCTCTTGCCCTTGTTCTGCAAAGTACTTCCTCAAATGGTTTCTTTTGCTCTTTGGTTGTCTTTTGTTTTGAACTTTTTTTGTGTGTGTGAATAGAAAAGTTGGGTTAAATATTACGTGAAAAATGGCTTTTCTTCTGAATATGAATAATCAGTTCTGAAGAGGGAGGGAGGGGGAGGAGAGAGAGAGAGAGAGAGAGAGAGAGAGAGAGAGAGAAAGAGAGAGAGGGAGAGAGAAAGAATATGAGAGAATGAATGTGAAATTAGTCCTGGAGGCACTGAGCTATTGCTATTGTAGGGCAGGGAACTGAGAGGAGTGTGAATTGCTGATGAGCAGTTTTGCACCATCTCATCTCTGTGTTCTACAGTTGAATATGACCAGAAGGAGGGTATAATTAGAAAATAAGTCAGAAATGGACTTTCACATATAACCTTTCTCCTTGGTGATTCACCTTTGGTGGGTAAGGGGTGGAGTGAGAAAAGAGATGGAGAGATATAGGAGCAAAGGCAAGGGCAGAGACTAGAAGGTGGAAGGAAGCCTACAGAGGGAAGCAGGGCCTCTCACCTGATGGCTGGGGTGGCTGGGCCCACTCAATGAAAGGGTGCCGATGTTGAATGATGGATCGCTGGCACTTCTCCTCGTCCCCATTCTGCTGAATCATGTCCACAATTTCCTGAATCCATGTTGTCCCTGAGGGACAAGGAAGGGTGAGAAGCAGAAACCTATTGTTCTCTCCTGAAGTATCGTGAATAAAGGATGTGGAGCCTGGTGTTGGTTTTACTTTCCACTCTGTCCAGGATCCTTTCAGCCAGGACAGCTGGACTTTGGATCTCTGTGGAGAGTGGGGTAGCAGAGGCAAAGCTCTCACCCCTTCCCAGGAACAGCAAATGGCAGGGGACAAATAGTTCCTGGAAACCCAGGGATACAGGCATTGGAGATGGAGCCGGTCCTTCAACAGATAGGAACAGGTTCCCTATTTCAGAGAATTCTACCTTAAGGGAGAAATCCATCCTGGCTTGGAGGGTGGGGCTAGGGCTGGTACTATGCCTAGTTACCTGATTTAGGGTAGGTACAGATGAGGAGGTCATCTGGCTTGGCCTCAAAAGTCTGGATCTGGCTCCAGTTGTCCACAGTTGCTGCCTGCAGGAGAATCCCTGCTACTTCTTTCAGTTCTGTTTGTTTGCTCATTTCTGAGGTTAGGACCATAGAATCTCAGAGTGGAGGGTCCAGTCCCTAGAAGAAGAACGGAACAGACTTAACAAAACACTGTGGCAAAACACACCTAACATGAAAATGACTCTTAAGCATTTTAAGTGTATGGTTTAGTGGCATTAGTAACATCCAGATTGTTCTTTACCCCTCATCACCTTCCATTTCTAGAAACCTTTTCATCTTCCCAGATGGAAACTCTAAGCCTCCCTCCCCCTCCCCTGGTCCTTGGCTACCACCATTTTCCTTTCTATCTCTTTGAACTCTAGATACTTTATATAAGTAAATTATATTTATCCTTTTGTGAGTGGCTTGGTTTACATGGCTTATATTCTCAAGGTTCAGCAGTGTTGTGGCAAGTCATTGGACTTCTTATTTAGAGATGACTAGTATTGCACATACTGCATGTATCCATGTTGGGGACTCCTGCTGTGTAAAGTAGCAGTCTCTTCATGTCCGGAAAGCCCACAGGCTCGGATTCAAATGCAGAGACTCCTTTTTCAGCAGGATGCTTTTCTGGCATCTTCCTGACTCGTCTTTTGAAGTAGCCACCCCAAAAACATGGCCTCCGGCTCTGGAAACTGCCAGCCTTTCCTGTGTGATTTTTCAGGCAGTCTGGCAGCCTGGCAGGAGCCCACTTCCA